GCGATTTTTCGAAGTTCAGAATAAAACAACAGGACTTGAAAGCACGAGCAGTGAGTAGAGTGAGTTTATAGGGGTCCTGACGTCCAGTTGCCCAGTATAGGATGTCTATATAGAGAGCAAAATGGCCGATAATGGCACATTATGGAGAAAAGTGCTTGTTTAAGCTTCTTGTGTCAGGGAGGAACAACCAACTTTAAGTGTACAACAGTGCAACGGTCAGTGTAGTGAAGGTCTCCAGTAATGAATCTGGAGTCTAGTCTGTAGATTACTATCCACAAAATTACATTCAGACCGAGACGACATCCATTACTTTTATATCTACTATAGTCACTTTTATGTTTTTTGTTTTTTGTTTTATGTTTTTATTACTGTTACTTGTGTTCTTGTGGTTATCTGTTGTTGTGGTTTTTTACAGTTTTTTCTCTTGTACAGTGTTAATTATATTTATATTATTTTTTTCATACTCTTACTATTTTTATACTGTCTTTATACTGTTTTTTTTCTCTATCAACTTTGCTGCTGTAAGATTGGAATTTCCCCATTGTGGGACTATCAAAGGAATATCTTATCTTATCTTATCTTATCTTTCTTTTGATTGCACTACCTGTACAGTCCTCACATACATATATATACATAAATCATTTCTTACATGCACTTTAGTCTTAGACCTATTCATATAAATCATTTATGTATAATATATTTGTTGTCAAGTGTAATAATGTATTCTTCAATATGTCACTACCTCCCTCTGTAACCTGTGCATTATTATTATAATTTTACTTTAAATCCCATCTGTATAATCAAACCGTTTGAACATACAACCCAAAATCTAATTATTTTCTAGAGACCTTGTATTTGTTCTGTTTTATTTTGTTATTTAATGTGTATTTTATTTGTCTTATCCGCTGTGTTACACATCTGAAACTGCTGTAAACAAGTGAATGCCCCAATGTGGGATCAATAAAGTATCTTATCTTATGTCCAGAGGCCCAATTTTACCATTTACACACTTTAACAAGGCGACTGAGAGATAAAAGTCAATTAGTTAATTTGAACATTGTTGTGTTTGTTCGAAACAGGAAGTCACGTGACGACAATAACAGAGGGGCGGGGCTAAAACCTTTAAAAAAAAATCTTTTCGCTTGCACCGATTAGCACAAAACTAACAGGTAAAGGTAAGTTAGGTGATAAAATGTTGTTTTTAAAGCACCCACTGAAACTTAAGATGACATTTTAGTCTTTTAAACGTGTTGTTTAATTTTTGTTGTCATGCAATTTGAATTATACTCGCTTTGTTAGCTCGATAGGCTACACGCGTGTTTTGCTCTCAAACTTTTAAATCCGCATTCACGGTTTTAGGAATGTTTTTAATCTTTGGCAATTAGTTAATTATAGGTGAACGAATGTTTCCAGATGATCTACCCTTAATTTTTTAAACACGTAAATGTCAATATAATGCTAATTTAAAAAGTCACCGGTTCTAACCAAGCGGCTGGTTGGAAACTGCACACGGTGGATGCTGTCTATGGACCGTGTTTTAGATTAAAAAGCATCAGTAAATGTGGTTTTAAGTCATTCAGAAGTTGAATCAAAAGCTGGAGAGATATTTGACCTCCAGGTTGGGGTAAATTGCAGCCAAATCTAGGTACAAAGAGTGTTTCCACAGGCGGATACTAATCACAAAACACTCTAGTAGCTTGCTTTCTTATGAATGGTTTATTGTAAAGTCATGTTTTAAAACCCTTTTGAAATACGTGGAGCACACCTGCTTTAAAGCAAACCCTATGATGCTCTCTTTTATTAGACTTTTAGTTTTGTTTTTTGTTTTTTTAGCATTTGCAGTCGCACTAAATCCAAGTTTGTGCAGATGTTTTTGGTTTAATGTTCACAACAAACCTACACCAGCAAACAAACACGCTTTAGATAGAAGAATATGAAGAATATTGCACACCTGAGGGGTTACCTGCACACATATTCAGAATTCTGCAGATTTATGATGATCTGATGGGTTGTCATGGTTCTGCAGCTTTTAAATCATCTAGCAACCTGTCAGTATTTGTTCCTGTCTATATTGTGTCTTGTGTTTTTTTTGCATTCAGCTAACTTTAACTGTATCCTTGAGCTCCCCAGTTAATCAGCTTGTGAAGTAATAAATCCCAGCTGCAAATGGCGTCCACCATAAGATTTGGAACCACTAGCGGCCCGCACAAGTCGTCTGCCGCTGCTGAGAGGGCGCAGTTGGGCGAGGACACCGGTAATGCAAAAGATATTCTTCCACAGCATCTTTTTAAGTTGTCTTCTATTACAGTAAATGTTATTAAAAGGTAAAATGTATTCATTTGTTCTGCTTTAACTTTAAAGATGAGAAGGGAAACTGTGACCCGGAGAAACTTCTGCAGTGCCCCTTTGACAAGAACCACCAGATCCGGGCGTGCCGCTTCCCTTACCATCTGATAAAGTGCAGGAAGGTGAGCACTTATTATTTATTATTTATTTAACTAACAGATATGGGAAAAAAAAACATTGTAGTTGACATTGAATAAAGGTTAAAACACACTGGAGCCAAACAGCTTCTGTTTTAGTGTCACCCCTATGCCTACATTATGTGGCAAAACCATCATATTCTGATTGTTTTGACACATATGGCAGCATGATTCTCGATTAGTGTGGGAACGATCATTTTTCTGTCACAGATTTGATTTTCACAGGAAAAAATTGTTAATCTTAATTTACACCAAACAAACATGTTTTCTTAAATTTGGAGAACACAGTTTGAAGGCCAGGTCACCTTTACAGAACTGTAGTACTTTATTATTTTTCATTTTTATTATACATCATTATAATATTCTATTTTGTCACACATTTTACCTTTTATCAAAAAATATGCATATTGCATTATATTCAATAAATTGTGCAGCCCTAATAGCCTCCACCCTGGGAGAATCTAGGTGAGTTTAAATAGTGGTGTCCACACGTGTTTATAAGCTAAAGTCTTATGTCTATGTTAAAGTGTCTTATGTCTAATTTTAGTATGAAAAAAGCAAACAATTGGCCTCCACAGTTCAAAAGGTTAAAATCCTGCTTTAATGAGAAGACTATGCCAATCTGAGCAGCTCCAGGAGATTAACAAGCACTTCTTGTCTGTTCTTGGAGCGGCACTTGAGTGTGTTTTAGCTTTTAGAGTGCAGGGATATGTGTATAATGTATAGTTTTTTGTTTGTTTTGGGGGTTTCTTTGTTTCATTCTTTACACTCAGTCACCAGTTTATTAGGTATACCCTGGTTAAAAGTCTTACACAGCATCCCTGGAATAAATCCTGCCGTCCAATATTTTGTCCACATTATAAAAATCAGTGAGGTTAAATATAACACACATAATGCAATACAGACTAACAACACCAATGGCAGCCTCCAAAATGATCATAAAACTGATTCTACACCTTTCTAAAACAGTCTTATTGTGTTGGACTGGCTTTCTTATAGCTCGATTTTACCTGATAAACTAAACGTTTGTATGTCTGGTTTAGTGCTGATGTTCAGCTGTTGCTTTTTACTGTGATGTGAGCGCTCTGTAAGTTACTGCACGACTCTGCCTGCAGTCTGCTTGTTAGTCTGTGTCGTGATTTAGTTCATCACACTGTAAGTTTGAGTGTTACTCAACTGACCTCTCGTTGATGTAGAATCATCCGAAACTGGCCAGTGAGCTAAAAACCTGCCCGTTCAATGCTCGCCACCTGGTACCAAAGCACGAGCTGACATACCATACTGAGACCTGTGAGGACAGAATCTCTGTGGACACTGAAGATGGTAAGATTATCACTTGGTTGTCTCTTTCTTTACGCCGCAGAGTTGTCATCTTACGTCTTACAGTGTTTCTGATTGGAATTATGCTCTGTTTGCAGGTGTGAGCACAAATGGATATTGTAAATGGCAGGTCCCAGTCAGTACTTGGGTGAACTCAGACACAACTGAGGACTGGGACAAAGGTATTATTAATAACTGCAACTTTGGATGTGTGGACTGGGCAAATGAGATATAACTTGTTGATTAGTGAGCTTTAGAGGTGCTGGTATGTGGATTTTGTGACATTTGGACGGAGCCAGGCTAGCCGTTTCCTCAATTTCCAGTCTTTATGCTAAGCTTACTCCTGTTGCATTTATGTACAAAGTCTTCATTCGTTCTCTCAGCATGTCTTAATTTGGTAACAATCAGTTC